CGGAAGCGGAACCCGCCGCGCTGCCGGGCCTCTCTAGCCACGCCTTCATGGTGCCTGCCCGCCCCGCCGCGCCTCTCTAGGCACGTCTCGATGGTTTCGTGCCCGCCCCGCCGCCATCTTGGCGCCGATCCCGCCCTGTCGTCGGGCCTGACCTGAGGAGAAGGGTTTCACCCCAAAACGTCCCTGTTCTGAGGGTGAATCGTGGTTTATCTCCAGAGAAGTGCGCTCTGCGTGCCAGGAGCTTGTGTTTCTGGCGGCTTTGGAGTAAGATGTGCGTGATGTGGGAAGGAGAAGCACGGAGGAGCGCTGAGGTGATAGAGCTGGGGAGCAGGGGCTGAGGCCTGGCTTGTCTTGGACAGCAGCAGCCAAACCAGCAGCTTTTAGGTGACCTGGAAAGGAAATCGTAGGTGGATGGCCAGCACCACAGTGCTACAAACGGAGAAGAAAGTCACAAGTGCCTGAATTGCTGAAGCCAGTTGATTTCCCTCAGCAGATGAGCCCCGATGCTGCTACAGCGTGTGAGCTGCCAGCAGGGAACGGGGGGCAGCCCTGGGGGGATGGATTGCAGTGACAGGGAGGCTGCAGTGCCCTCAGGAGCACTGCCCTGCTTCTAGTCGGTTTGCAGCATTTCTGCAGCAAGTTTCTCTTCTGACACGACACTGCAGTGAGAAACAAGGATTGTACCTGTACAGAGTGAGTAAATAGATGGTAGCATTTAATCTGCACCAGTGAGGAACCTCTCTGTCAGGGGATGCTCTAGATAACTCCACCAGTGAGGCAGCCCCTCTGCAAATGTCTCTCATTTCTGACTCCTCAGGTTGGCAAATGCTCCCCCCATAGTAACACACTCACCAGGAGCCCATGCAGTGGTTACCTCATTGTCGTGGCTTTTACTCTTCCCTCTCATCAGTTTGATTTTACTTTGAAGGAGTCATTTGCCTACCTGTGTGCAAACCCAGGTTCTCACAAACATGAACTGATTCTTAACAGAATTAGGTCTCCACCTTTCCCCTCTCTAGACCTTGCTGGTTATGGACTTGGATAGCAAAGAACCAAAGCAGCACACTCTGGGAAAAGAAAACGTGTGAAGAAACCAGGGGGAACAAGAACATAACACAGTTCTTTTAGGCTGAGGTTTCTAAAATGCTTTGTAAAGCTCCTCAGCCACACCTGTTGCTAATTATGCAAATTATTATTCATACAAATAACCACCTTGATTGAAATCAAAGCAACTTTCACAAGAAAGTGAAACTTAAACACTGCTGGAATGGCTTGAAAAAAAATGCAGAGGCAATAGGAGATGAGGAAAAAGAAGTTTCTCAGCCACCTTTGAGTTTGCCATGCCAAGACAAGTGCTCATCTGGAAACAAAAATCCATTATTCATCCATTAATACAGATCAGACTGGTGGGAAGAGGTGGAGACACATGGAAACACCTGCTCAGCACATTCAGCAGCAACAAATCCATATTCCTGCTCATTCCTCCTGTTACCTAACCATCCATGGAGAGCCCTCACCACCTCTGTAGCTCACTGGAAATCACACAACTCTTTTGGATTGTTTTAAATCCATATCTTCCTCGTTTACAAAATCCAGATACTTCATGCCCAGTACCAAGTGTTGTATCTAACAGAAGCTCAGAGTGGATAGGCAGACAATTCCTGCAAGTTCACAGAAGAGAATGGCAGTATGTGAAAACTTTTCCTCATCTGAAACAGCTTTAAAAAGTGAGTTAGGATCCGTGCCCACACCAATGCCTGAATATTGGCTGTTCAAGAGTGATTTAGTCAACCAGGGCTGTATTTAGGAGCTACAGAGAGCAGCAAGTACCTTCATAGAGTCTAGAGTCATCTTAGGACACAAGGTCAGACCCACCATTCAAGGGAGATGATGGTTTCTCTGCACTGACTACAGGGCACTTGCTGTGAAGTGGCCAGTTCAAAACACCCAAAGTCTGTCAAAAACAAATGTAAAATTTTGGAATTTCATTTGGAGAAGGATGGATTTGACAGTGATTTCTCATCACTTTTAAGAACACAGTAGCTTGACTATAACCACAGACATGTTCAAAGAAAACAAAGATTGAAAGACTTCAGTGATTCATATGAGAAAAGACACCCTTCTTTCACTTTTTTCTGTTACAGCCCTAAAACATTATGAATGTCCATGGAATGGTTTGAGTTGGAATTTACCTTAAAGATCCAACCCCCCTGCATGGGCAGGGACACCTCCCACTAGGCCAGGTTGCTCCGAGCCCCATCCCACTTGTTCTTGAACACTTCCAGGGACAGGGCTTCAAGAACTATCCTGGACAACCTGTTCCAGTGTCTCACCACCTTCACAGTGAATAATTTCTTCCTAATGTCTAACCTAAATCTCTCCTCTTCCAGTTTTAATCCTTCCCTATTGTCCCATCCCTTCCTGCCCTTGTAAAAAGCCCCTCCCCAGCTTTCCTGGAGCCCCTTCAGGCACTGGAAGGTGCTCTAAGGTCTCCCTGGAGCCTTCTCTTCTCCAGGCTGAACACCCCAACTCTCCCAGCCTGTCTCCAGAGCAGAGCTGCTCCAGCCCTCACATCATCTCCATGGCCTCCTCTGGACTTTCTCCAGGAGCTCCATGTCCTTCTTATGTTGGGGGCTCCGGAACTGGACACAGAACTCCAGGTGGGGTCTCATGAGAGCCCAGTAAAGGAGAGAATCACCTCCCTTGCTGCTGGTGATGCAGCTCAGGACACAGTTGGTTTCTGGGCTCGAGTTCAGCTTCTCATCCACCATCACCCCCAAGTCCTTTTCTCTACAGACTGTTATTTATGTCTGTTGCCACAGCCATGTGTCAGATCATCTGCATCTTCAGTGCTTCTCTGCAGGCTTCCATCTAATGGTTTCACACTTCTCAGCCCAAAATTAATGAACCTGGCTCCTCTCTCCTTAGTGCCACGTGGAAACCTCATGGGAACAGCCTGGCTGGGTACACTGTCAGCTCCAAGTACCACCCCTGCAAACCAATACAGGCAAGAACCAAGCAGATTTTCTCCCCAGCTGCAAGAATTCACTGCTAATTCAGCAATGACACAACTCCAACCACAAACGAAATTGATGTTGCAGCAGGAGGTGAGCACCAAACCCTGTTCAAGCTGCTGTTTTTTGTCCAGTGACTGCAACATGACTATGAAACTAGACAGAAAAATCACGTAGAGGATGGAATGTATTGCAGAAAACAACCACAAAATAAATCCTTCAGGTCTTCCCCACCATCAGCCAGAGCTAGTCAAAGAAAGAAAAACTCTTTGTCAGTTGAGCTGCCATCACAATATCAACTTCAAACAGGAGTTCTCCATCCCCCTGGCAGGCAGTGGCACTGCCACAGGCTGGGACAATCCACCACACTCATTCTAAAAGTGAAAAAGAAACGTGTGTGCACATGTTATGACCCTTAAAAAATTGCTTCTTCAATACACACTATACCTTGTACATCAAATTATTTCAATTTTTTGTTTTTATTATGACAATTTACATGTCATATTTATATGAAAGAAATGACAGTAGATATTATAACAAAAACATTATGAAAGAAAAGTTACACAATTAGGCCTACAAGCTATAAAATGGCTTCAGGCCCAGCTTATACACAAAGAGTTCTGACCAGACTGTAGTGAGAGACAATGCTGAACAAGTCATTAACAAAAATATTGGCACCAGCCTTAACATTATTATTTTTTTTTACTTCATTTACAAGGAATACAGTATTTAAACAGTTGTGTACTGCAAATCTAAAAACATGAGCTGTTAATAAACTGCAGTTAACCCTTTGAGCACTGAGGCCACCATGACTTCCATTGAAAAAAAAAGGCTTAATGCATCATGCACGTGATACTAGTGGTGGTGGTGGGGGGAAACGACAGTGAAAGCACCACCCAATTTATGTGCAACAAGAATAACACTTCCAGTTTTTTCAGCACATCTCCCCCACCCCACCCCACACACACAAACAGTGTGTGTCCCCTCAGTCCTTTCCCTTTGATATTGTAGCAAGTCATGATTGAAGAGAAACTGAAAAAGTTCAGGACTCAAGAAACGCAAGGGTTAAACTCTACACAGTAAAGAGCTCAGCCTGTGGAACTTTTACCATGTTAATTCTTTAGAGAAAGGAAACAAAAAAAATGAGGCCATCTGTGAGCGAGACCATTTTTTAAGGAACTGAAGGGTTTTTTTGCAAACATACAAACAGCACACACAGGAGTAAGACAAAACCATATGTTATGTGAGTACATCTTCAATTTGAAGAGCCTTATCTGGCAGGTTTCATCTAATACTCACAGAATGCTGAAGGACAACCCTTCTGCAGGCAGATAACCTGTCCTCTGTCACCTGGGACACTGAATGTACCTGGTGTTTGTCTCAGGTACAGGATCTGTGCCTGTCTGAGAACTGTTGTGCCTTCGGAACGGTGATGTTGCGCTTCTGAATTGGTCACAGACCATCTCCTGGCTGCTGCAGGAGGGCTGTGAAGCACAGGTAGGAACTAGCAACCACATTGGCATTAGCAACAAATATTCTCATGGGAGTTAGGGGGAGGAGTACCATTTTAATTAATATAGTCTAGGCATAAGAGACTGTACATGATTTTAGAGTCCATATAACAAGTATGAGATGGAAAACTAAACAAGGCTTACAACTTTATGATTTTATTGCCTTTTCTACCACTACATTGAGCAGCAGATTAGTAGCTATTAAGGACTTTAAGCTGCTCTAACCAATGGTGCACTGGTAACTAGGCCTATCGTATGTTTTAATAGAAGGACTTTATCCCCATAGAATCATTGAAGTCAAATTCTGACAGACTAATAAAAGTTTAGTAGTGTGGGACACAGAAAGAGGAACAAACAACAAAGCAAACTGTGGAGACTCCAACCTATGTTCCCAGAGGCAAATAAACATTGTCATAACACTCTACGGGCTGATCCTAATTTTCTCCACATCCATATTGTGCTGATGGAATGTTACTGACCCCCTCAAGGAAGGAGACCTCAGGTAGATTTTTCCTGTTGCTTTGAATGTCAGGATGAGAAAAGGAAGGTATTGGGATGATTCTCTTTAAGGGAGACCTTCCAGTGGAAATAC